CCCTACCTCCCCTGCCCCCTGCTTTCCCTAGAATTTTTATTATAACTTGCTGGCTTCCTAGGAAAATTCAACATGGTTACATATTAAAGAGAAGCAGGTCTAATTTTGAGCCAATATCTAAGCCAGGAAAGCATCTGCCCCACCTCACCACATATACCCCAACAAACACCTTTGTCAAGTGAGCATCAACCCAAACAGACGTGAAATCGCTCTTTGAGCCCCTCTCCTCTGCCAGGCCATCCCAGGGCTCCACACAGTGGAGCCAGTGAGTAGAGCACCTCTGCTCTAGCCCACAGCACACTGGACTACAATTTAAATGCAAATGACCCTGCACCCTGCTTCTCATTATCTTAGACAGTCCTGCAGACTCTGTACTGTTGTGACTGTGCTGATGCCGTGAAAAATAAGCAGATTCATCTGTATTCCATTCCCTGCATTACTATAAAGTGAATTCAAAAGAGCAATTCATCATTGCTTTTAGATGATACACTGGGGTTGTAGAATGCCTAGGTTACAGAGAAATGCCTTCCTTCTCTTCCCTTTTTTTTTTTTTTCAACCACGCAGGGAGCCTTTCTATAAAGGCAGTGAGAGAGGATCTTCTCTTATTATAGCTGTTCAATTAATTGCCAGTGACACTGCATAATTGAAATAAGAGGTTTCATTTTAATCCGAATACAGCTAGTGGAGAGGCAAGGATCCATTCATGGTAACGCTGAGCCCACAATCAGATGACCGCCCATCTGTGCTCCACCCGCCCCTGCACATGAAGGGGAGTAACAGCCAAAAATACAGGAAAACGATGGACGCTCACTTACCCCACCAACATCACTCTAAAGGTTGTACTTTTTATTGTTTTGTTTTTTTGCAAAGTCATCTTTCAAATATAAGGTTCCTTTAAAATAATTCTTTGGTTAAAGTATAGTTAAAAGAAAGAGTAGCGAGTACTCCAAGTCTTTCACTCCAGGGTGAAAAATGACCCCCTCTTTCAGCCATCAGATGGCCATTTAATCAGCCATTCAGAGTCTATGAATCTAAATGTAATGGAAAACACTGTAGTCTGAACTCTATACTGGGGTGAAGCAATAAGCTCCTAGCTACCAATGCAGGGATGCTGAAGAGAGCCTGGGAAAATGAACCCCCAGCTTCTGCATTAAAATGTGCCAATTATTCTAGCCCACTGAGGACTTGCGGTGGCATTTTAAAATCATGGAAAACTAAGTCTTATCTATGCATAATACTGGGGCATTAGGAGCCCCGTGTGGCACACTTACACGCGTAGGAAACTGTTTCAGACCCTCAATCCAGATTAAATCTTTCCGTTAATTTCATTTCACCTAGTTCATTTCAGAGTACTTGCTCTATTAAAAAAATAAAATCATTTCTACAAGAAATCATTTGGTTCTTCTTATCTGGCTTGTTCCTTCTTTTCCCCGCTCCCCTTGCTCCCTTCCTTTCTCTTCCCCTCCCTCCATTCCTTCTTCGGCCACCCCCACTTTCAAGAGTACCCAGCCACAGATAAAAAAGAACTCATTCTTCTTCAGATTGCGATAGAAACCTGGAAGTCGGGGATGAAGATGAAGTGAAGTAATGCTGTTTGTTTCTTCTATTACATGTCAGTTCCCACAGATGCCTCGGTTGGAGTTCAGGCTCCGGTCTTTAAACAGGTGTTGTGTGTTAGATGCCCTCCAGTCAGTTCGGGTTCAAAGGGACCCTATGTATCTCGGAAGGAAGCATGGCCTGGTCCTGCACCATCCTCACAATTGTTCTCATGTTCGAGCCCATTGTTGCAGCCGCAGTGTCAGTCCATCTCACCGAGGTCTTCCTCTCTCTTGCTGCCCCTTTACTTTGCCAGGCGTGTCTCTCCCGACAACATGGCCAAAGTACGTGAGACGAAGTCTTACCATCCTTGGCTCTAAGGAGCATTCTGGCTGTATTTATTCCAAAGAAGATTTGTTTGTTCTTTTGGCAGTCCATGGTCATTTAGGGTAAGTGTGAAATAATAATTCCATGTGAATCTAGACAACCCAGGACATTTTGATAAATAATTCAGTTCATTAAGGCAGGAGAATAAACTCTTTCTTGTATATTAAGCAAGGTGGATAAGGTAATCTATTCTGCATTCTGTTTTCTACAAATATAGACACGGCCCCAAACACACTGCTATAGTTTTCAGGAAAATTATCCCAAGCATTTGAAGTCCATGGAATTTAGGGAGTTTTGCTAATAAACTTCATCCCCCAACCCCACGCAGCCCACGGCCATTGAGGGCATTTCCACTCACTGTGCCTGACAAAGGGGTTCAGAGACTGTCAACAGGGGAGCAAAAGCACCACCCGAGCTCCTCATAAACGGCACAGAAATGAATACACAGTGGGTTTACTTCCGAGTCAGACCACGTTTCATCCTGTTGTACACAGTGGACCACACTACGAGTGGGACTCACTCAATGGCTCTCTCAACCAGCCGCGGCAGCGGCAGCAGCAGCAGCAGCAGGAATGACACATTAGCTGCCACGGGACTTTTCTCTGAAAACTTATAGCGTGCTTTTCCCCATAAAGTTAAGGTCAAAACATCAATGAGTGATGTCAGCAGGGGGTTAATCCTGTATCTAGAAGCTGGGTCAACATTTGTGCAAGGCTAGAAGAAATCAAGATTTCCACCCCGTAAAATTTATAACCTATTTCTCTAAGTTACTTTAAAAAGCAACCGAACACACACTGTAATCCTCTTACTGATTAGCATGTACAGCTAGCACCCAGCCACTTCCTCTCTTTCCAGGAGCCACCGGTTTCCCATTTCAAGTAGAAGCTTAAGTCTATTTTATGCACCAGATGCCTTTTACATCTGGGGCTTGAAACTTACTCAATACCACAATGAGTAGAGATTGGTTTTAGACAGACTCATGTTTGTCTTAAATGGCTGGGGTTTCACTTCCTGTGCCAGGTGCATTGTCTGCAAAGTGGCAGCCATCAGGAATACCTAGTCACACAATGAAATAGACATTGATCACTGATTTTTTTTGTTTGATTGTCATTTATTTTTCTTTTAAATAAACTCTCTAAATGTAGGAAGCAGGTGGGATGGGGAACCACAGGCTGTGGCCCTGCTGTGTATCCTTAGGAAGCCCTGCCTATGTAATTTAAATGATCATAGGAAAACAAGAACACAACAGCACAGGCAGCCATGCAGTCGTGACTGTCACCGTTTACATTAGTTCCCTGACTTCATTAAGCGTCCTTGGTATAACTGGTGTTAACTGTTAATGTTCGATTATGTTAGACTTGTGCTAGAAGTGCCCAACATCCTGACTCCTGGTCTGGTTTGGACCAATGTACATATCGCACAGAATGAGCTTTCTGCTGACTCAAATAGTAGATTGAACATACCCCCCTTCCTAACGTCAACATCATAAGCTTCTTCACACCGTCCAGACTCCAGGCACAAAGACAAGTCAATGCCACTCCTTTAGAAGTGCTCTGGCGCTCTAGAGGATGACACAGAGAACTCTCAGTGGTGTTGTATTGTGCAAGTCCTGTGCACCTGCGATCGCATTTGGATACATCACAGTTACAGTGGTAATACTTTTACAAGTGAACCTGCATCTTCCTCAGGAGTGCCCCAAGTGCCTTGGTGAACAACTCTTTGCCTCCCTATTTCACAGAAGGCAACGGGGGGAAGGGCCTGGCCAGGAAGGTCTGGTTGCTTAAGAGAACACATGGTGGTAGCAGGGCACATGCCAGAGCCTTTAACCAAGAGTCTTGAGCCAGCAACACTGGAGTAGGGGTCATATTGCAGGTAGAACCTAATGCTGAATCTAAGAACAAGTCTCTGCTGGGGTGTATTATCTAATGACCTTAAAAGAATTCTGCAGCTTGGCTTTGCCTAATTGAAAAATAATGTTAACAAAGAAACTCCCATTGCCCAACTGGCAGCTCTCACCCCCCTGTTGGGCATAGTTTTTATTCTTGCAGCCTTCCTTGGTGCACTGGCCATTTGATTTGGAGGGGGGAGGCTCCTTAGCCATGCAGAGAAGGAATGAAGCAAGCTTCTCTGTAGCAGGCATCTGGTTTAGGAAGAACATTCTCTAAAGCCTTGTAAGTGAGGCAAGAGTCCAGAGAGAATGAATTTGTTCCTGAATCAAGTATTTCTTTCATTTACACCGTCTCATAAGAATGTTAAGCATGAAAGAAAATATGCTAAATTATTCTGAGCCGTCTGCTTAGAATATGTGGTACGGACTTTCCCAGTTACTAATAGCAAAAAAAAAAAAAAAAAACCCAGACCAAAAACAAAACAACAACCAAATCAACCCAGAAACAAAATAAAACAAACAAACAACATATGAGAGAGAGCAACACCTCCCCCCCAAAGGATTTCTAAAGGCATCTTCTTCTCCTTCACCCATGTGATTTATTCTTGTAATAAGGTCTCTCTCCAGTTGAAGCCTCCAGTTGGTCCATGGGTAAGAGGAAGGATAGGTGGATCTGTTAGCTGCCATATCCCAGTTTCTCCCAATTCTTCACAGGAACAAAACCCCAAGTATGGAATCTGCAGAAATGGAAGGGAACATTAAAAATACCAGTGATTTAAGGCATTGACTTGGCACAGACACAAAAGGAGCCTCAAAGCCCCATGGACTGCCAACAGAATCCACCAACTTGTCTTGGAAGAAACACATCCAGACCGCTCTTAGAGGCAGGGATGGTGAGACCTCTTCTCACAAACTTTGGAGATGGCATCAAGAGAGACCAGTCCCTGGAGAAGGACATCTGCATGGTCAAGTAGAAAGGCAGTGGAAGAGGAAGGCCTTTGACAAACCGTGTTCAAAGATTAGAGCACTTGGGAGGATGGTGCAGGCCGGGCGGTGCATCACCCTGTTGTACATAGGGTCACTATGAGTTGGACCCGACTTGCTGGCTCTGGACAACAAGAGATCACAAAGACATTCAGGTGGCCCTAGAGAAGAATGCTTCGGCACCTTGGTAGATATGCACTGTCTTAAAAAAATCCACAGACATTGAAACGGATAAAACCGATCACTCAGAGGGAAAGGCTATTAGATTGAGCCAGAGGACTCCACAAAACAATCCAGGAAATGGGGAGTTCCCTTAGTGCAATTACGTAATTGTTTATAGAGTGCTCGTAAGAGGGCGCAAGTAAGTGGGGGGAGAGGACACAAATGGGAGTGTAGACTACTAAGGGGGTGAGATTTAAGTCCTAATTCAAGAGAAGTTAAAAATGTGGTAGTGCCACCATTTCTGAAGTGATATACACAGACAATGGAAAGGTTGTTCCGTTTTTAAAAATTTGATTCACTGTTATCTTTGTTGTTGTTGTTACTGCACGTCTCTGTTTTCCTCCCGAGCTGAAGCTGTGGGTGTATCGCAAGGCTTTTTTGGGTGAGGCCCTAGAGTTGAATTCATAAACAAGACCCAAATCTGTGTTCTCAAGCAGCTTGTTCATGGATGGGAAGGGCAAATGCATAAGAAAGCCTTTTAAAAAAATGGGAACGGATTGCAACTGAATTTGAGCTAGGTCCTTGGGGACGGAGAAGGGATGAGTCTAGACCTGGCGGGAAGTGTGTGGGAGGGTGGCTGACTGGAAACCCTTATCCGCAGGCACCAGCGGACAGCAACCCAGATGTGTCCATCCCCCGCCTGGCTTTTCTGGCCTGTTGCCTCCTCGCCAGGCTGGCCTGTGAGTCCAATCACTGTGAATGGCTGACCCCGTTGACCTGCTGGCCAGGTCTACTCTTCTTGCTGAGCTTTCAGAGGCGGTGATTCAGCCTACTTCAGGGTCCCTAAGGGAAATTTGGATAACTGTTTCTAAGTCGTAGTCATTTCCTGAATTTTAGCTCTTGAAGCTAGGAACTAGTTCTAGTACATCTTTTGTCTCTTACTCAAACTCACGCTCACGGCCATCGAGTTGCTACCTTAGAGGACAGGGTAGAACTGCCCCTGTGGGTTTCCAAGACCACAACTCTTATGGGAGTAGAAAGCCTGATCTTTCTCCCGAGGAGCAGCTGGTGGTTTAGAACTGCTGACCTTGTGGTTAGCAGCCCACGGCATAACCACTGTGCCACAAAGGCTCCATCTCTCTCTCACCCAATGCCTTACACAGGATCACACTCTAGACATCTTTGATGAACCAATCCATGAATGAAGTTCTTCAGCTCGGCGTAAACACCTGTTTCCAAGAACGTTCTTACCGAGCCACTCAATGAGCTCTCGAACACTCCTAGGTGCACGCAGGCCCTTCAGGGGCAGGATGACTTACCTTTCGCACCATTTGTACAAAGTCCTTGGAGTTCTGAGGGGACAGACCCTGAAGCTGGCAGGTGCATGCTTCCAGAGAGGATGCATGGGCCACAATCAGGATGTTATTTCCTGAGGAGAGAAGGAGGAGAGAAGACGGTGAAGGACGTTTTCATTAAGATGTGTGCAAACTTTCCAAAGACTCGAAGCCAAATGGCCGAGAGAGGCGAGCACATCCTCAAGGAGCCAGTCTAGTCAACCAAACATTTGAAAACGGTTCTGTGTTATTAAGGTAGCCCAATGTCTTTAAACACTTTAAACAGAAATGCTTAACCTTAAAGTATACATTTGCAGGAGGTTGCAGGGGGGGAAAGACACAGGACAGTCCCTTGTGCCCTTCACCCAGCCTCCCCAGTGGTCCCAAGTGCACCCCTGGGGAAGACGAGCAAGACCAGGAAACAGATTTTGGATAAGCGACAACGCTGGTTCAAACCTTACACATTTCACAAGTATTTGTCTGTATGGATCTGGACACGTAACTCTGTCATAGTTTTGGCTTTGCATACCCACCATGCAATTAAGATAGCTAATCTATTTCCGTAGGGTTATCTGATCTTTGTTGTTGTCCGTTGCTCTGACTCGCAGTGACCTCATGTACAACCAAAGGAAGCATTGCCTGGTTCTATACATCGGAAGGAAACTTTGTCTGGTTCTACACTATCTTCATGATCCGTGGTCAATTCGAGTCCACAGGTGTACTTTGAAGGAGGCCGGTGGTGTAGTGGTCTTGTTTGGACTTCTAACCGCAAGAGTATCAGTTCGAAACTACCAGCTCCCAGGGAGAAAGAGGAGGCTTTCTACTCCCATAAAGTTACTATCTGAAAATCCACAAAGACAGTTTTGCCTTGTTTTCTTGGGTCATGAGACTTGCTGGTTGTGAGTTTGGTGTGTTCTGAGTGCCTTCCAGCCTAGGTGAGGCATCTTCCAGACATTGTGAGCTGTTGTAACTCATTGTGTTTCCATGAACTCATTCTGGTAGTGGATACCTAGGACTTTTCTTCCCAGTTTGTTTTAGTCTGGAAGCATTTCTGAAATATGTCCACCTCTGGTGTCCCTGCTGGTATTTGAAATACTGGTGGCACAGTTTCCAACAGCAAAGCAACATGCCACCACCATGCAATCCAAATTGACAGGTAGATGGTGATGCTGTGTTTTCTAAGTAGATAGTTTAAAATACTGCCACTATAGAATCTTGAACATTTGAAGCTTTCTGGCTCTATTTTTATCGTGGGGAGAGTGGGAGAAGAGCTGCAGACAATGACTTATTACTGGTGCCCAGGAGGGGACATCATCCATATACCACTGCTGTCCAGGGTCAACCACCATTAGCAGTTTGGTGTATGACCCTCTAGTTCTATGAATTTGAATATTTTAACTTAAAAAAAGATACTGGAATGTGCATACTCTTTTGTAAAATTTTTATAAATAATTACAGTGAACAGTCCTACTTAATAAATATTGGCCTTCAATGGTTGGAAACTTCAATAGCAAACACATTTGAGCTACAGAGAACATGGTGATTGCCTAGTGTTTGCTTGTACAGTGTGCTTCTATTTAGGGGTCTTCATGCCGGGATCAAACAGTGTTTGATCCGAGGACTTCTAAACATGGTAACAGAGGACCTCTATCGCAGGAGAGAAAACGAATGCTTGTAGTCTCGACATCTAAGTCCCAGAGTGCAGTCGCACATTGTACTAAGTATGGTGTCACATGTCTGTGGAATTATCTGTCAGTGTCAATCCTCTTTGGAAAAACCAACCATTGAAAACCCTATGGGGCACCATTCTACTCAGAGACACACGAGCTCCCCACCAGTCGGGTTAGCCGATGGCAAATGGTTTTTTAGGCATGGAAAGAAGATGATAGATTTCACATTAAAGCATCTATAAGAGAAACAAACCATTTTTCTTTCCTGTGAAGCAAGTTGAAACATCACAAATAGTCTACTAGCCATGATGGAGCAACGGTTACATATTTAACTTTAGAGTCCCCCCAAATGCCACCTACCTTTACTCTGACATTCACTGATGATTTCTTTTGTAACTTGGGCACTTCTGCTGATGTAGGAGTCATAGGATTCTGACACCACTAATTTGCTGACTGGAATGTGAGGTCTAAAGCAGAAAGACAGGCAAGGGGAGAGAAAACATCATGAGCCTGTAGCAGAGCAATCGATTTTCCTCTCAGCATTTATTTCCAGATCCTTCCAGAGTACCCATGATTAATTTTGTCCATTCCCTAGAGAGGAGGAGGGTCCAGGAGAGACTATTTCCATGGAGGGGTGATGGGAATGTCCAGAGACAGAGGCGAGGTGCCCATGGGGACCAGCGGGAAAGGGGAACACTGAGTGACATATAAGCAGCTGAACTAATTTTCGGACCAATGGTCATGGATAGTCCCAGGTGACACCATTTTGATTCATTCGTGTCACAAAGCCATAGGAAGGGAAGCAGCAATGATGCAAATTTTTATCTATTTCGGAGACCTGAGTTTTCCTCTCGACTATCTTAGGACACTTTACACATGCTGTGCTGTGAGGTTGGACTTAGAAGCAGAGGTTTAGTCTTTGATGAGCTTATCATGTTCTTATCATGTTATCATCATCTTCTCCTTTTCTCTCTTATTTGGGACACAGACCGCACACCTGCCGTAAGGGAGGCCGAGCAGCCTGAAGAGAAAGAGAAAGAACCTCAACCAAGCAAGCGATCAGTGTAAACAACCACAACATCACAATGCACAAGGCTCATAAGAGCACACACCCTGCAGAAGAACCCCCAGTCCTGGTGACTTAGTGACCCTGTACTCAATTTCCCGTTTCTTCTATCCGATGGGTCTGTCTTTAAGGGACTGAGAGTTAATTCCCAACTACAAATCAGCCCCTACACTATTTGAATCTCTGTGTTCTTTCTAGTCTGAGATAGTTCTCTTGAGTATAAGTACAAATATGGCACTTAAATTTGTTTTCCTCTTTATCTTTCACTACTAGGCTCAGGGCACGGTGCAGAGGGTGATCAGTTCTTGATATGGGAATATATGAGAATAAGTTCAAAATATTGCTTCTAGGGTTCAAGAGAGGCTGGTGTGCTTCTTCCATGTGGGCTTTGATGCTTCTCAGCTAAATGGCCGCTTGTTTGTCTTCAAGCCTTTAAGACCCCAGATGTTATATCTTTTGGTAGCCGGGCACCATCAGCTTTCTTCACCACCTTTGCTTATGTTCACATTTTCTTCAGCAATCATGTCGGGAAGGTGTACATCCTGGAATGCCAATTTAATAGAACAATGTGTTCTTGCAATGAGTAAGTGCTTGAGTGAAGGCCCAATCAATGCATGGATTTACTCCAAACAAAATGTGTTTAACCGTGTCTTTGTGGTTAGTGGATGCCTGCAGATAAGGTATTTCAGTAACATACCTGTCATAGTCTCAGTAAGGTGTCTTGTAAGAAAGGCATGTTTTTTGTGCCATTGGGGGGAAAGGATTTGGGGGCCAGGGCTAAAGCAAATCTTTAACAGAATTAAGTGGACATCTTCTTAAATCATTTATGCCTTGCAACACGTTTGTAGGACTACTGCCCACACAACTTAATAGTTTTTAGATAAGTAAAAAGTTTCAAGGATGGTTGAGAAGATGACAAAGATGAGCCCAAAGAGGGAAGGTCAACACTTTGATGGATGAAGAAATTGGGGCTGAAGTTCAGCAACTGGTGAAACAGGACACAGAATCACCATTGAAGAAAGAGCTCCTGGAGCTGGGATCTCAAATGGTGCAGCGTTTTCAATTTTAAGTGAATATCTTCAGCAAGTTTTTCACCCTATGGGTGCCAAAGCATTGCATGGGGGGTCAGCTAATTTAAAGAGCTGATCTTTCCAACAGTCTTTCAATCAAGGTAGAAATTAATGAAGATGATTTTATGGAATGAATCATAACCATATACGCTCCCACCCCACTGTCACCACAGTCAGGGCCCTGTTTTGAATTCTCTCCAATTGGTGGGATTTATTTCCTTCCATTATTTTTGCCTTGCCTTGATCCTTCCAGCCAGCCCACTATGGCTGGGGCTGTTTTCATTATCAACTCTGACGCTGGGTCCCGCTGTGTGTGAATACTTGGGTATTAATTTTTATCAACCTGGTGGGTTTCCCTGACTCTGCATGCAGGCTGACCTTTCGTCTGCTCTTTGCAAGCCCAATGTTAGAACAAGGCTCTGTCAGGGGAGCTCGTTTGCTCTCGTTTCAGTTTTTGCCCTTCTGCCTGTCATGAGATTTCTTCATCACATACTTGCATCAGAAGGCCTGCTCATTTGACATAATCAACTTCAGAGGGAGTAGAAAAGCTAGGGGCTGTGTTTCTCATCTGCTTTCACAACTGATTTAGAGAATTGGAAGTTTAATGCCCCACACCCAAAACAAAACAAAACCATTGAAAATGAGAAGAAACAGTTAAAAGCAATCACAACAATCAGAAAGTGGAATGTATAAAGTATGAATTCAGGAAAATTGGAAGTGGTAAAAAATGCAATGGAATGGTAAATGTACATATACTATGTATTAGTGAACTGAAATGGATAAGTATTGGTTATTTTGAATTGGATAGTCATATGGTTTTCTATGCTGGGGATGACAAATTTAAGTGGAATGTTAGTGAATTCATCATCAAAAAAGCATGTCTCAAGATCTGTCTTGAAGTACAATACCGCACACCTACAAGGAAGACCATTTAATACAACTATTTCATATTTACATAGCAACCACTAACACTAATGATGAAGAAATTGAAAAATGTTATCAACGTCTGTCTGAAATGAATCAAGCAGGAGATCAAGGTGTACTGATAATTATTCGTGATTAGAATGAAAAATTAGAAACAAAGAGAAAAAAAATCAATAGTTGGAAAATATAGTTTTGGTGTTAGGAACAAAGCTTAGAGATCCAATAGACGAATTTTGCAAGACTAATGGCTTGTTTACTGCAAGTACTTTCTTTCAACAACATAAACAATAACTATACCCATGTACCTCACTAGATGGAATATCTAGGAATCAAGTTGATTATATCAGTGGGAAGAAATGATGGAAAAGCTCAATATTATCAGCCAAACCAAGACCAGGGGCTGACTGCGGAGCAGACTATTAATTTCTCATATGCATGTTCAGGTTGAAGCTAAAGAAAGTTGAAATAATGAGAGCCAGAGAGCCAAAGTATGACCTTCAGGAGAACCCCTGTGGATTTAGAGAACTCCTCCACAGCACTAATGACTGAAGGTCAGATGGATTGCCAGATGACATCAAGAACACGATATATGAAAGGTCACTAAGAAGCCAGGACGAAATAAAAGACTAGAGTGGATGTCCGAGGAGACACTGAAAGTTGCTCTTTAATGCAGAGTAGTTACAGCAAACGGAAGAAATCATGAAGAGAGTCGAACAGAACACTTCAACAAGGCAGCTGAGAAGAACACGCATTGTAATGTGCAAAAACCAAAAGACCTATCTCCAGTAAAATGAGTTAAAAAAATCAAGCCTTTATTTGGAATATTGAAGGACTTTATGGGTAAAATATTGAACAATGCTGGAATCATTAAAAAAAATGGGAGGAATAAACATGGTCGGTGTACTAAAAAAGAACTGGTCAATGTCGAAAGATTTCACGAAATAGCATATGATAAAGAATGGATGGTATTGAAGGAAGAAGTCCAACTTGTACTGAAGGCATTAGTGAATAAACAAGGCTCTAGGACAGTGGTTCTCAACTTGTGGGTCACGACCCCTTTGAAGGTCCAACGAACCTTTCACAGGGGTCACCTGATTCATAACAGTAGCAAAATGACAGTGATGAAGTAGCAACGAAAATAATTTTATTGTTGGGTTGTCACCACAACCTGAGGAACGGTATTAAAGGGCCTTGGCATTAGAAAGGTTGAGCACCACTGCTCTAGGAATTGCTGAATCCTGATTGAGGCAATGCTGGAAGAACTCAGTAGGCTATGTTAAGAAATTTGAAGACAGTTACCTGGCCAACTAGAAGAGATCCACATTTGTGCCCATTCTAAAGAAATATGACCTAACAGAAAGCAGTAATTACTTAACAATATCATTAATGTTATACTCAAAATGTTGCTGAAGATAATTAAAGAACAGGTGCAGCAGTACATCCACAGGGAACAGCCAGAAATTGAAGCTGGGTTCAAAAAGAGAGTATGAAACCTCGGTATCATTGCTGCCATCAGGTGGATCTTGGCCGAAAGGAGAGAATACCAAAAAGATGCTTCCTTGTGTTTTATTGACTATGCACAGGCCTTCACCTGGATGGATCATAACAAACTATGGATGACATTGAGAAGAACAAGAATCCCCCAACATTTAATTGAACTCATGCAGAATCTATCCATAGACAAAGATGTAGTGCTATGAACAGAGAGAGGGGATATACTGCATGAATTAAAATCACCAGGATGGACTACTACCGGTGAGATAAGCCTTAACTAGTCTGTCCCTGGTGGTAGTGGAGAAAAGTACTTCCACAACAGCCCAGGCCAGCGGCTGTTCCAGACCAGGCGTCCTCAACTATGGCCCGTGGGCCACATGCGGCCCGCCGAGGATACTTATCTGGCCTACTGGGTGTTTTTGCCCCATTTGTTTTTCTACTTCAAAATAAGATATGTGCAGTGTGCATAGGATTTTGTTCATAGATTTTTTAAAACTATAGTCCGGCCCTCCAACGGGCCTGAGGGACAGTGAACTGGCCCCCTGTTTAAAAAGTTTGAGGGCCCCTGTTTCAGAGGTTTACCTGTAGGTTGTATCTACGCTCAGGCTGGCTGCAGCTAATTCTGATGGAGGGATCCAGGTAGGCAACGTGGTCCCAGCAACCCATTTTGTCCACTCAAATAATCCAGGCTCTACACGAATTCTCAAGTGATTTTCTTGTTGTAAACCTTAGAGAGTGAAAGAAAGAGAAATCAAGATGAAGGAAATTCTATAATGTTCTCAGTGGGAAAGTAAATTATAGCAACTGTTTAAAAAATTCTGATATATGAGTTTCCCTGTTTTCTTCTAGAGCAGTGGTTCTCAGCCTTCCTCATGCCGCGACCCTTTAATCCAATTCCTCATGTTGTGGTGACCCCCCCAACCATAAAATTATTTTCATTGCTACTTCATCACTGTAATTTGCTACTGTTATGAATCAGGCAGCCCCTGTGAAAGGGTCGTTCAACCCCCAAAGGAGTCGCGACCCACAGGTTGAGAACAGCTGTTCTAGATGTTACTTACAGGAGGTGGAAGCATGTGGATTTTGAGCAAGGGTTTTTATGTTTGTGTGTGACACAATTTGAATTTCATGCTCTGGCCACATCACCACCACACACACCAGCTTTAGGTGGCATCTGATTTAAGGAAAATATCACAAGCCATTATCCATCAGACTTATGAAATTCTGTGACTATCATATACTGTTTCAAAAGTAGGTTCCATGACTGCCTGACCAAGAATCACCAGAATTCTTTTAGTATTCACTCCTTTACAACAGCTTTTATTTTGTTTGAGTATTATAGAAAATACGGTATTGAATATCTCTAAGAACTACTGCAGAAAATCTTGAGTTTTCGTGTATTTTAAGTGTTCTCTCACTAAAAGTATGTACTGTAACACAACATCTGCCAAGTCTACCTTTTCACATGTACAGCTCAGTGACTCCCATATGCTAATCTTGCTGTGCATTTGTCTTCAGTATCCATGCCAAGTTCTATCAATGACTTCCCTTTCAACTCGCTCTCACTTGCATTGAGACTCTTTTTTCTTTTTTCTTGGTACAGCTATAATATACCAATGCTTTCTGGTAATGAAGAGAAGGTTTAATTTAGGTTAAAGAATGAAGACTGAAATGAAGTGTGAAATTCTTTGTTGGCATGTCTATTTTCAACTCATTCGTTTCTGTAGTAGAAGTCAAATGCCTAACTTTATTTCCTCCAGTTTTGTTCCCAATGAGCTGAGAATGGGAAGCGCTGCAAGTCCAGCGTCTACAGACTGTGGGGTGAAAGGGGGGAGTATCTTTACAGCAGTGGTACTTGCAAGTCTCTCCAATTATGGAACTAAAGAAACACGATGGTTAAAATCTGCTGACACTTAGGAATGCTGTCACTGCTGTAAACAAAAAGCACACAAGAGCAAAGCAGGAGGAAATGATTTAACTGCCGATGTGCAAAAAGGGATCACCAGACACACTATTTTACAAACTTACATTCAACCAACAGGGCTTTACACATTCAAGAAAAAACTATTTGTAATACCCGCCCCACCCCATGATACTGCTAGCATACGATAGTAAGACTTTGGCAAAGTTATTTTTTTAAAGAATCACTGATGAAATGTTCCAGATTCAAACAAGCTTATGTTCCCTGCTGTAGGATATTTTAAATAGAGGGCTGCCAGAAGGATATACCAGTTAGATTCATTGCCCATCATTAAGACAAGAGAATTTTACCTTTCAGGATGTTGTGTGCTGTCTGAACGCAGCGCAGGGATGGGGAGCAGTAGACATGATCAATAATGGTGTTACTCTCTAATAAGGCCTCACCTAAAAAGAAAACCCAAAGAGGAATGAGTCAGTGGGATTTACACAGCCTCTGCTGGACTCGCAAGTGCCAGACAGACCCTTCCAACCACTCTTCTGATGGGCACTCACGCAGGACCAGTGGTTTCAGCCTGGCTTCTACCAAATGGCCCATTAGTGTCTCTATGAAAGAGGAGAAGTCACAATACCCTTGTCTTCTTCTCTGGTGCTGGAAACCCTTCCAAACAGACTCACTGACATCTAGCCCATCATGACTCCCAGTGACCTTATAACAGGATGGAGCTGCTCCTGGGGGCTCTGAGATGGTGCTCTTTATGGGAGCTGAAAGCCCCCGCTTCCTCCCACGGAGTAGCTGGTGGTTTCAAACTGCTCACCTTGTGGTTAGCAGCTCAACATGTAATCTCTACCAGGGGTCCTCAAACTTTTTAAACAGGGGGCCAGTTCACTGTCCCTCAGACCTGTTGGGGGGCCAGACTATAGTTTAAAAAAAAAACTATGAACAAATTCCTGCGCACACTGCACATATCTTATTTTTGAAGTAAAAAAACAAATGAGGCAAAAACACCTGGTGGGCCAGATAAATGTCCTCGGTGGGCCCCATGTGGCCTGTGGCCCATAGTTTGAGGACACCTGCTACACCATCTGGATTCAACCCATCCCCCCCAACCGAAAACACAAACTCATGACTATAAAGTCGATTCTGACTCACAGTGACCCTACAGAATAGAGTGGCACTGCTCCAATAGGTCTCTGAGACTGTACATCTTTACAGGAGTAGAAAGCCTCATCTTTCTCTGGAGGCAGCAGTTCTCAACCTGGGGTTCACGACCCCTTTGGGATTCAAACAACCCTTTCACAGGGGTCGCCCGATTCATAACAGTAGCA